AATACAACGGATAGTGAAGCTCTTCCCTTCTTTCGTGCTGCTTTATTTATCTGCTTGATTGTGTACGCTACTAATAGCGTAGAGTCAAACATCATCGTATATATTTTTGTCGTTGTTGAGAAATCGGTGCCATCGGTCGTCGAACGTCATCATGATCGTTGTCGTCGTCATCAGCACAATGTTTTATCAGGCCTTGTTGTCTGACGATAACAGCGGTGGTAGTAGTGGGGCTAGTTCGACCCTTCAACTCCTCTCGCGCCCTGTCGGTCTGTCTATTTGTCCGCGCCGTGGAAGGAACAGCCTGGCCAGTGGGATAAGCAACGCCAACGAGAAAAGCTCATTCGTCGTATCGAACAGCCTACTTTAGGGCCGGCATACATTTTTCCTCATGCTGATCTTCTGCTTGACTCTTGTTCTAACGCTTCGACGACAGCAGCAGCAGCAGCTGCGGCTTCTGCTGATGCTTCCGTTGCTGTTGCCGAATTTATCTACGAGTATAAGAGTGTGTTTGTCTATCTGCCGATGTGTCAGACAGCGACGTCCTACGGTTTCTTCCCTCGGCGATTCTTCTGCCCTTCCGACTGGCGTTTTTCTTTGTGAGAGTCATAAAGGCCAAAAAGAATTTATCTCTTGTTTAAATCTGTTCTCGAAGACCGTCGTTCAAGCCAATCGTCACCAACGCCGATCAACCACCCGATTTGAAGTTTCAACTCAATGGAATTGTGCCAGCTACAGCAATAGCAACGTTAGTGATAGAGGCTATTCGACCTGTAAGGCGGTTGGGCCTACGGTGGTACCGAACTGCAGCGGCAGCAATAGCAGCACTGTAAATGTGCGATCGGCTTCGCAGTCGACCGCGGCCGCCGACGTACACAAGAACGGATCATTTCGCCGTTGATTTGTCCGTACCTGTGTCGTCTTGGCGTGGCTATAAATCCCTTTTCGCACCACCACCACCGCCACGGCCGTCACCATATCACCGCCGACCACAACAGCAGATCAGACCACAGCTCATTTTCGTCGTACAAGCTTGTAATAAACACTAAGCAGCATCAACGGTGATTGGCATGACTTCCTAGCACCGATTCTTCCATAGTGTCGTTTCATCGATACTGATCTTTTTCATCTCGTATTTAACTCCCTACGAGAAAAACAGTTGGCCTCCTCAACTTCTATTCTGTTGGTCGATAACGGGCGCATGGCCGCATAGCGACTCGCAGGATAGGGCGGGCTAGTGAGATTGTGGTATAATCGTTTACATAAGTCTTCATGATCTTCACTATTGTGTTTGTTATCCTCTTCTAAATTGCGCTGTTAGATCGTTTAGCATGAACTTCAACCGTGTGAATTTTCCCCACAAATATAGTTTTTTTTTTGTTACAGTTACTTTAGGGCGATGCCTCACCGATTCAGTTGTATCTACCCGCCGATGTAGCCGTCTGTGATTATTGTATAAGATCTATATTACAGTACATGTCACAGTTCGATGCGAAATTTCCCCACTGTTGTAGCATGAGACGAAAAAATGAAGCACGCGTCTGTGCGTCTTCATTTTTAATCCTCGCTCAAATCATTTATCTACGTTTTTTGTTTACTGTATTCATATGACTAGGTTAAAGAAATGCATTATTTTTAAGTATGCCAAACCTGAGTACTGTAGCTGGTAAATTTTGAGGTAGGTCGGCTTCTACCACAGCTTTGGGTATTTCGTTGTAGGATCTTCGACGAACTTTACCTTCGAGTTCAAGGTTTTCTTTCCGGAAAAAAATTGAATCGATGGCTCGCGGCGACTTTTAGTGGTAGGTCCTTCGGGAAGGACAAGGTTTATAGGGCAAGCTACACCCACCACTGGTGTTACAAAATAGAACCCATATTATTAAACCGCCTAAATTTTCTGATTTTAAATTCCTCACTGGAACTTTCCTGCTAAAAACTTAAGTTGTCATCTCGAAATGAACGCTATCAGATTCTAACAAATACACGTATGTCTCTAAAATAAAAAAAAAACTCGATGAAATGTTATGACATAGCGTCACTTTGAAATATAACTTTTTTTTTTCTACAATTCTCTACAGTTTTTCTACGGTATTTTTTTTTCATTTTCAATTTTTTTTTTCTACAGACCGACCTAATATATTGAAGTTTTGTTTTTGCTGCTAATTTCTTTCTTTCTTTTTAGCTATAATGTTACCTCTTTGACGTTGTGTCTAACAAAAGTTGTACGCATCAGAATGTATCTTTTTTATTTGTTTACATATTTATATCTCCGTTTATTAGAATTTCGAGTAGACCTATAATAGGAACGGGAAGTACATTACATCGCTCTGGTATTTGCTTATCAAGCTAGTTCACAAAGACAATGGACCACCAGATGAAGAAATAACAGCCAAGATCGCACAGCGGCGAGAATTTAGAAGAACTCTACTATACGACTGGATCAAGACTCAACGGTTTAGTGCCCCGACCTGATACGGTGAAGCGACCATCAAAGCATCAGTGAAGCCCACGGTGTAAAATCGAATTAAACTGCTCTCTACCGTGGAATCTCTATCTGTCTGTCAGCTCTTGCTGAAAGCAGTGACACTTAAGGACAAATCGATACCAATTTTGGCAGTATGACTGTTTCTAACTAAGATCTGAGCCTAAAGCCCAACAGCAGAATTAGGTTCATCCTTTCGATCTAAATAAAGAGGCATGATTATCACAGCAGCGTATTATATACTTGTACATTTGTTGTTGTTAAAACACATGTATACAAGTGTATATATATATATATATATATATATACATCTGAGCTAAAAGTTTTCAATAAGACCTAAAACATCCGTTTCTTCTAGTACTCCGAAGATGACAAAAAGGCTTAGCTAAGAAGGTTTTAAGCAATTCTCGCGCTAACTTTTCCGGATAGTCTGAAGAATATTTATGATATATTTTCGAAGTGTTTAAATAAACCTTTTTTTCATCAGTATGTTGTACATTGATTATGTGGTGGTCAGCTTAACGTAGCGCCTGAATTAATCTGAATCAGATCGGGTATATAGATCTGTATGTCTGTTTTCCAATAGCGAAGTACGCGCAATGAAGGCGGGTCATCGACTATTCCATTTCTCGTTCTCGTACCAAAAAGTTCATGCACGTATATTATCATATAGTATGAGGCTTTCGAACGTGAGGCAAGAAAATAGGCCGAATGCAGTTGGGACAGAAGACAGTAAGTGATAAAATGTAACAATTCGGTTCACTCAGAAAATGCCGCTGCCTGCCGCCTGAGGTCAACGCGAGGTCACCTGCCTGCCGGCTTCGCGTTCGATGAAGGCCAGTCTTCGCCGTCGAGTCGTTCGAGAGTCAGAGTTGAAAACGGCTGTTGATGCAAAAGCGACGAAGAATTGATGGTCTTTTGGTCTTCTTCCTCTTTTTGGTTGGTGGTCGATAGGTACATTGTAGATTTTCCGAGCAGTGAGCTATTATCTTTTCCCAATGATATTTTATTTGCTGTGACCCGTTAAACTGCGCAGATAACGTGATGCTGCTGCTGACGACGATGACGAGCCCCCGACAGGCACGTAAATGCAGTCGAACGATATTCGTTGACCGCAGACAACACGTCGTTGACGCAACGATGTTATTGATTTGTTTTTGATTAAATGCCGAACGGTAAACGAAGTCATACAACACCCTAATATAGACTTACACAAAAGAGAAGAGGGGTTTCAACAAGTCGACGTTTCGAACCAAAGAAACTACTACCCGCCTATATGAGTGTAGGAGTGCTTAATTTGAGCTTTATTTATCTATTATAGGTACTTGCTCAACGTTCGCCTAAGTCTTATATAATCAATCAATCCCTATCTCCATGACACCACTGCTACCGTGTTGACTAAGTAGAATTCAGGGCTCGAGTATCATGTTTGGTTTAATCGTTCCGAGATTTCAACATGACATTGGAATCGTTAAATGGACGCCGCGTATGACTACAAAAGAAGAACATTTTATAGGGCATCTGTATCGCATAATTTGGGTAACTATTATTCAGATGTAAGATAGTGTAGCTGATATATAGGTTTCGTGGCTCAAGAGAAGCTCAGTTTCGAAATATATTCGTTTGTCCACGGTCTTGCATTGCAGGAATGTATATAGCAGGCGGCGTAACGTATTCGAAAGCATAGGCAGTCTGCGATGCCGCAGCCGTCGGTAAGTGCAACAACGCTCTTAGTTGTCGCGTTCTACGCTAAATTCGATTCCACATCGTTCCGTACCATAATGCATTCTATTCTACATTTCCAACTCTTCAATGCCAGCGAAGAACTAGAAAATAGCAGGATCAAGGATGAGCATACGGCTGTGCCCTGTCAGATCTTTCGAATGGCACAAACGCTCCGGACCGGCATTTGGGACGTCGCGCTCAGATGATTTCACTCTAGTCAGTCAGTCAGCTAGCTAGCTAGCTAGCTAGCTGCATGTAAAGACTTAATGTTCATGGCTCTAAGCTAGGCATGCCATCTAAAAATAATTCTATACACAATACCTGCGTAGTGACGTATCCCTCTCGAACCGTTTTGCTTACTCGAACTGTAGAAAAATGGTCATTGAAGGTAGTTTTTACAGGCTTTCTTCTCTACTTCTATATATATATATATATATATATATATATAGAGCGGCGCCCGGCTGAATTGAAATAAACTTTAGCGACTTGTCTGCCACAACATGCGTGCAGCTGTCCGTCATTTTTCGTACCGCAAGCAGGTCTGTTTTTTTCTACACGCCATCGTAGAGGACTATGTGTCGTTTTAATGCAAACAAGCTATTATCCAACTTCGTCGCACTGAATTAACTCTTACCTAAATCAAAGGCTATTTTGCGCGAAATCAATGGCCCACGACTTCGACGCGGTTTCTGAAAATCGGAGGAAATTTTTTCACGGCGAAAACTGGAAGATCCTAGACAGGGTTTTAACTTAAAGGGCTCAAAAATTTATTGAAATAGTTGAAAAAAGCCATTTTTAATACACCTGGATCAAAAGAATATTACACGCCATTTTACGCCCTCGTATTTTTGCGCTTTCTGGCACGCTATTAGGGCAAAATCTAATTTCGTATCTAGTTAAACGACTTTACTTACTAATATCACTTCAGGCACGATTATTATTGAAAAGTGATCTTTGGATTCAAAAAGGAGTATCTGTAGAATTTGTTTGAGGCGTTTTGTTTGTAAGTGGTTCAGGTCCTGAATTGAGCCTGTACTCGCGGTGAATGGTAATTGTGCTGAATAAAAACTGCCACCAGGGGGGGCGTCACTTCTAGCGCCTGTAATAATTTCATTGAAATATACTTTTATTGTTTAGATACAGCCTTATAAGCAAAATAAAAAGCTTCAATTTAGATGTTTTTATTTAATCTATAGTCAGATATGAGGTACTTTTTTATATTTTCGAAGTGAATATTCAACTTGCACAACGGAAACCTATATTAGTTGATACTTCAGTGTCCGTCCTCGATAAAATCGCTTGTACAAGCGGAGGAGGGAGTCTCGTTGTGAGATCGGCGTATCTGATTATAATGGCATGTTGACCAAAGAAATGGCATCTTCTTGATACTGGTGCCTTTTTGACGACGCTATATTGTGTTTTGGGGAATAATATAGGTTAAATCACGTCTAGGTCAGATGGCCGTGACGCAGTATCGACAATTTCTAGTATCTTACTTGTGGAAAGGATAATAAACTGTGTGGTTCTATGGTAAAATTATGTATTATGATATATTGAGGCAGATTCATGTGTATGCTGGTGGCAATCAATGCCATCGGGCTTTTCAGCCCGGACTATATGGAGAAATAACACTGTCCGAACATAAATCTTCCGTGGAGGGAATTGACCGAGGTAGAACAAGATGGCTGACAACTCGAACACGACAATGTTGATCTTTCGGCCTTATTATTGCTGCCGGCGGTTCTTCACCCTCCCTATTGGGGTCTATTCCGGGAAATGCAAACTCCATTTGGGATGTTTCAGAGGCCACGCTCATGGGTCGAAGCAATCTACAAAGCCAGGATTTTCATACAAATATGATATTTATATTATATTGGCGACTACCAAGCACGATAATTTAACATTATGCAATGCTATTACTAGTGAATCATCCAATTGATCATAGAATACAACATCAACACGATAATTAAGATAAAAATAAACCTAATAGTCACTAAAATATTCAAGGTGTAGTGTATTTAGACGTCGTACATTCAAACACAACATCTAAATTCTGTCAGATCCTTCGAAAATCGAACCTTCGAGCTGAATCTGCAGGCCTTTTTTGCTTTTCACGAAAAAACGATTCTCAGGTATGTGTAAAGTGATAAATGTTTTTATTGTGCCGTACTGCACTGGCACTTTCATAGAACGTATAGATACGTGTTGCGCTCACTTTCTCCGTGCGTTCTGTTTCCTAAGAAGGTCATGCGCAGGCAACGATAGGCTTCGACATTTTTTATCCTTTAATTGCAGAACATCACCCTGAAAGGTTCCTTTCGGTCTCAGCCAGTGTAAAGCAGGAGATGCTTTAGGTGATCTTGTGCCTCGGTCGTTACCAGGAGTCTCAGAGCCGTTATCACTAGCGAATGAGCGGGAATGATAGCGTGAGCCCTTTCTGCAAAATGTAAATACCTATCGCGTGATTTTTTTTGTCTAGTTTGATTCAAGCGGGAAAAAAATAACATGAGTTTTTATGTGTTTTCGGTCGGCTTGTATACGTGTCTAGATCAAAGATAATTACATTTATTTCTAATTTATTTCAATGCTGCTATACGGAATAGAATTATTGTACACTTTAGATTAATTTATTCCATTATCATACTGTGTTCCAAGATTGAAAATGCCGAAATCGGGCATATTGATACCATTTGTATTTATTTATATTAATAGCGCGCGTTAAATAACGAACCCAGCTGCGTTGTAGTGTACCCGCTGCGGCATAGGTAGTCGAAATGCTGCTGGACGCGATTTCTTTGCTCGTCGGTACCATCTGTACAGTATCAGCGAAGCGGGAACCCCGATAAGGAATAACGCAAACACTACTCCCAGGATTATAAAAAACGCAACCCTGAAGCACACACATGCACAGAGGGTCTATCAATAACCCCATCTGTTTAGGGTCTCTTGAGGAAGCTCGAAAACAAACGAATTAACAGATAAGAACTAATACGAAACTTGCAAACCTACATATCGGTGATTAGTGCTAGAGAAGGAACATAATTTTCTTTAATTGCTGCTAAACAAATAGTATTAAAACGAGCACCGGTACATGGTCGTATATGGAAAGAATTGAAAGTTCAGTGTGTAATATTAGTGCAGGTGGAATACGTTAACTCAAATCGCATACTGCCTTGGGAAGTGCCTGTGAGTAAGGCCGCTGTCCCTACATTTACATCCTAGCCTTTGAAAAAAGCTCGCTAAAAACGATGTTGGGCGCATCTAAATATTATGAGCAATGACACTGGTTTACCTGACAGGACGCGCTAGTCTGGTCGGGTTCTCCGGCTAGCTTTTGATGGGGTTAAATATTGCAATAGCTACAACTTTACATTAGAATAAGTGCTCGCACGAATGAATTGGCAATATAATAATTGAGCCGCGCCTAAATACCCTTTACTAACCCGGAGGTGGCCTTATCTGCAACGAATGAGGCGAAAACAATGTGCACATCGCCATTCCTGATGTACTTAACAGGCACAGCGATGATAATCTGATGCTTAGGACGGATTCTGTACCATTCAGTACTGTAGTGTTTTCGTATGACACGTACGGATACTCTATCAGAGTTCTGCTCATAGCGCTCGGTCGAGACCTTGTTGTTAAACCTTTGAACGACGTTCTCATCGCCTAGTTCCGAGCGCTGTGGCCTGGATATGCTTTCTTCGCTATCGGTCGCTTCGACCTTGTTCAGTGTGATGGGGTAGGAGTCCATCACCTTGAAAATTAATCATTGTATTAAAATTGATACGTGATGGATGAGAAACGGTTTCATTTACATCCTGTTCCACTCCGAAAGGTGGAACGATGAAGCGATTTACTGTCAATTGTGAAACGCTCAAAGTCGAAAACGAAAACGCAGGGGGTGCTCGTATCCAGTATTAATCTAAAACTTTTCCAGTAAACCATGTAAGTCCTCTGAGAATTCTTTGAAAATGGGACAGGACTACACTGTTTCCCTGCAAGTAAATTGGATAACATAATTAATTCTTAATCGAACGCTGATTAGGGCTCACACTGAGACAACCAGACTCGAACTAAGAACTTAAACCAAATGAGAACCTTTATGAGTTTATCTATCTAAACGTAACACCTTTGACGTATTTCGGTTATTCAATTGCTTAAAATTTATGTTACTATTGAAGATACTGAAACTAAGTTAACTGTGTCACTGATCTTAAAATTTTTGTTAGTCTAGTTGATGTTAAAATTGCATAGGATTTGCGACGTATACAGGAGATCTGCCATTACTGAGGAGTTTCGCAACTAATCCTCAACATGCTATACGGTACCTGGGGCATCTTAAACCTATAAATCCCTGTCTTCCTATGTTACGACTAAACTAAGATAGACTTACAGTGACCGCAGCCAAGTTTCGGCCGGTTTTAGATTTTCTTATGTAGAAGCGTAAATTCATGGTAGCCGAAGAGTAAGAATATACCGTTATCAAACATAAACCGTCGTTTGATCGGCTAATGTCAACATGGCGATCTGTTTCATTGACCGTTGCTACGTACAACGTTTCAATGCTAAAATTTGTCTTATCCAGTCCTGAAGCCAGCCAAAGGGGTGAAATAAGAGTCCCGCACCTTCCGTAGCAGCAGTCCCTTACGAAATCCATATCTACTGATACCTTTTGTCCTGCACTTATTACAATGAGCACAGCGGCGGTTAGCGGCAATATGCATTGTAGCTGGTGAAGTGATAAAATCGCCATATTTAAATTAATGATGCACGTGCATCACGAGTGTCCTCAGCACAACGGGCAACAACAACAACTGGTTTTTGCTGATTTAAGAACCGCTATAGTTACACTTTGAATTATGGCATTGTAGGCCACCGTTAATATACGAAACAATTCGTCGGGTCATCGTATCACTGCGGTCTCTTATAAAGGTGATAGTACTTTTGCCACAAGTCGACACAATCGAATCACCGATGAACTAAATAATTAGCCTCGAACACAGCTAAACAACTATGTCAACGTTTCTCGTTCTGCGGATCTAGTCAGACCCTTGATAATTTACGAAAGACAGATCCCAATACTAATCCCGTGGACATTTTTCCTAAGCTCAAACGCAAAACGATTCACGCTTACGGCTTACCACGATATGCTCTCTCTCCTCTTTGTTACTGTGCGTGTATGCGTCCAGGATAGAGACTCCCCCAATAGTACCTCGTTTTTTTTCCTTCTCCGGACTCGACTGTCTGTCTCGTGTGAACGAGCCGAACGAAACGAATATCCTATTTGACGTCATACGCTCAATCTTTCGCGTATATAAGGTATTACAAGCGAATCCAGCGGACTACGAAAGTGAACTACTTTCGAACTAGAACGATAGTTTCCTAATGCGTGACCTTTATTCCTTAAATTGATCTCCTTTATTTTTGCGTATTTATTCAATCACTCTGGCCGTTTCAAAACAGTCCTACGTAAGTCATCTATCGATGGCTTCTTAACGTGAATCGATTGTGGGATGCACTTAGCCACCAGTCGTTTTTTCTAGGGCATGGAAAGCCTGTCCAAATAATCACGCGTCAACGTTGGATTTCACTTTGCTCAATTCAGAAGGTAACTGAGGCATGGCGATGAGCTCGGAGTCTGTCGTAAAGTAACTAGACTGTGTGCCTTCAACTGCCGTGTTAGCGGCCCACTGCAACGGCTGTGCAATTATTGTTTAGATTTTAGCGGGTATGTCACAGTAACGGATGCCTCTGATCTCCATGGCAAATACTATCAGCGCTTTACGTCCGGACCTACTCGACACTGCCACCAAATTCGATTTCTCCCTTGAGCGAGGCCGCTCTCTCGCCTGATTCTTTCTCGGTGATCGTATGCTCCAGGCGGGGCTTTTTGGCACATTACCACATGAACCTCCGACTGGCCTGAGCCAACTCAAAGGGGACTCGGTTCTGTTGAGTTAGAATTCTGTAACATGCTAAAGGTGAAATAGTTCCCAGAGCTGTCAGACTCGAACAATTGCTTTCGTGAAAAATTTACTCGGTGCCAGGTTCTAACATTTGGTCATTTCGTCGCTAGTCTTCGCACGTTCCCTTCTTGAAACGTTTGCACAATTTACGCGCTCTACTTTTGTTGAACGTTTCTTTGCCAAATGCACTGCTGTAGCCTTCGAGGAACATGAAGTTCACTATTAGGCGTCGATTTTGCAAATTAAAAGATGTTTTTTTCTTCTAAACCCGTTTCCTCACACACAAGTTTCCAGCCCTACCTAAATTTCGTCTGCTAGCGGCGCATGGTTAAAAAATTGCTCAGTCTTATATTCTATCGGGTTCACCTGTACAACAACCTAGTACATTGTAAATATCCGTATTGAATACTTACGCCACATTGTTGCGCTTCGTACATGAACATCATACATCTGAGGATAATAGCTTGCCGAACCATTGCACAGGGTAAATGGATAGGCAGATATTTATCGTTTTACCTAAAGTGGGTGTGCGTCCTAATGTTCGAGTAAAAGTAAATTACATCCATGATAGTTGGCCTACGTGCATGGATGGATGAATAAGATCGAGGTCATTTACACGAACCGCGTAAAAATATACACATCAATAATAAACAATAATGGACACGCGAGCCAGCTGATTTGCGTCACTGTTCCAAACAAAGACAATTTTCGAATTCAAATCATAGCACTACCTTCATTCTATCTTGCTCTCTGCTATATATATAGCATATCTATCCCTGATAATATCCTTGGGTACAAGCAACTATATAGAATGATGCTTGCACCGCAGCGCGTCGTACCGTTTACCGTCGGTCACTACCAGTTCCTCGTTAGCCAACGATGTTCCTTTCTAACTCATATGTGTCAAGGATCACAAATAGCCTCAATATTTGGACTTCAATGAACAACGCTACAACTCCGTGTATGGTTGACTCATAGCCCTCTATTTCACGACATGTCTCGATCCCTAGTTGCTACACGCCATTTTCGCCGCATGGTGTCCATCTGATTGACTTCTACATCTGGTAGACGGATGCTAGGGTGTAGACAAGTCAAAAGCGAGGCACTTAGTTAGCGAGGTTTTTCAGCACTATTTTGTGCGTCTTCCGAGGGTACGAAGGTTCGAAGGATGCACATTGGCACTGACTGAAGCGCGTGTGCGTGAGGGCCAGTTGTCTACAAGCCAGCGTCTCTGCCCTTCTAACGGATCTACTTTCCTTTCCTTGTGGTCAAAACGTCTTTGCTCGAACGTCTATCAGTGATCTGACATTTCGGCGAAAAGCGCAACGGATATTATTTTTTTGCGCCGCCAACAGCTATCTAGTCAGCCCTATCTAACTGGTTCTCAAACTTATGACTTTCGTCGTATCCGTTCTTTTCCTACAAATGTCTTCTTCACACCTAGTACCGGCAAGTGGGCATCTTAGGCACACGCTTCTGTCAGAAGTTATTCCTCTTCCTGTTCGATCGTCGGACTTCGCTCTCCGTAGAAGAAACAAAATGGCTTATTCTTTTCTTGGGACTCTATTTTTTTGTCGTCGTATTATGATTTCTATGTTAGACTACTGCGAATCTATGGCTCGTTCGCTTGAGACTAGTAACGAGAGTTCGGCGGTAGCGAGCAAAGGAACGTGGCATACTCCATCTCTGCTTGAAGAGGGGCGTCATTGAGCTATCTTCGGTGGTAGACGGACGATACCCAAGTGATGACATAGACAGCGGCGAAGAAGTCAGCCACTAAACAGATACAGTTAACGCATCCACTGAGAAAGTGTTCGTAGCAAGTTAACATACGCGAATGATAAGATGACTTCACTGAGGATATTTGTCATCTGCGTCTTTCCTTCGAGGGCGCAATTTACCAGTAAGCACAAAACAGAGACAAGATGAAAGTACGTTCATTTCGAATGAAGTCGGTTACATCAGCTATTTTTTTCCATTGCCAAGCAAACATAAGTCACCTGCACTTCGGTATGTTTACTAACGCTACCCTAACCTCGAAATTGTCATACAACAAACTATAACAGTAGAAAAATTGCAAGCTTTACATCAAATAGAAATAAAATTATCGTGCTCACTCTCGTAGCTGTTGCAACTATTCTGAACCATCCTGTAGTTTTAATGATCTGTGGCCGAAAATTCAGCTCATATCGCAAACGTTAGACCTATCCCATTCTACTATTTCGCTTGGCGTCAGGAGCTGTAGCAGGAGAATACTTACATGCCTATAATGTACGCGTTATAGAATTTCAATATCGCTTTCTTTCGATTGCTGGCTTTGTGCGATTCTAGCAAAGGCCAGATGAGGATTTACCACTGATCTAAACTGTAGATTTACTAGTTCTAGTAATCGTCGACGGTCTAGACGATCTAAATATCAGGCGTATAGTTTACATACTAGGCTCTATGATCGCACGTACCATATAGCTGGTAACATCAGGGTTTAGAATACCAGTAGCAGTCTAAACCCGTTTAGGTGCAAGTGTCCATATCTACGCATGCGGATTGACCGCGATCAGCCGTTGTCTTTGAGGCCACCAATAAATCGCAGCAGCAGCAACAACAACAGCCTACATTCAACATTCTGCACACCGACGGTACGCAGAGTTTAAGCCGATAGTGAACTATCCCGACGGAGCATGAATCTGCCTTTTAGGGACACATTGTGCTTCGTATTTGAGACCGGTTTGTTCCACGCGTAAAAGTCGAAACGTAGAAGCTGATTTTTACACCCAACGTCTTTGCACGTGAAGGGCAAACAGCAGTAGATCAGGGAACGTTCATTCATCACATCGTGAACTTGGAGAGATTTTCAGAATTGTATTCGCAAAATCCATGACAATTTCCATTTTTTTCTATACGATCTCAACGAAACTGCGATCGTTTAATTATCGATTAGTGTTTCTTTGTGTCTGCCGAACTGCGGCAGCGGCCGTAAATCGCCATCCACGACCAGTGACCATTTTCACTGGTTCAGCTAATACAAATCAATGGAGTATTTTTAAGTGGTACAAGTTTGATGTCGGAGTACTTGCGACCGGCTGATACTGGAAGCCGTCTTCTGAAATATTCCTGTTTCAAAAATGACGATCGTGACGGAATCATGCCGAGCTTCCTCGCACTGTGATGATCGCCGTTTCGTGACAGTAATTATTACAGATTATCGAGACGGGAAATGAGTGAAGGAATACTTTAGGAAAACAAATTTAGCCCTAGTTCGATGTAATTGAACATAGTAATCGCAATGATAAGTGTTAACGGGGTCAATGGCAATATTAAACTACGTTAGAATTTACCTAGTCCGCTAGTAACTAACAGAAATGGCGAGATACTTTCACCTGTGCCGGCTGCTTCACTGACTGAACTTACGCACGATCTAATCTCATGACGTTTTGGAAATAAGCAGCAAGTAACGCTTCAGATAACTTAGGCGTGCCATATAATTAGCCATCCAATAAACAATTCAGCAAATAAACCTATCACCACCTTAAACCTGCCACCTGTCGACACTATCAAGTTGTCCATCGGGATGACGCGGTGCTGGAGATTTGAAGGTCCCACGCGTCGGTCACACAGGACGCCTGCAGATCTATTTCTATTGAGACTGGGCCCGTTCTACGAAGCTTCGCTCGCAAAATACGTAAAAATTAAACACTATTGGAGATTTAATTAAAGACACGAAGCAGGGAAAAGCAGGAACGTGCGAGGGATAAAAGTAAATCTGTTTTTTTTTTGTGCCAAAGCCAATAAATTGCGCCATGTTTGTATCGGCGTCTTGTGCGGAGCTGCCGCAGCAGCTGCGGCGGTAGGGACGACGATGGCTGTAAGAGCTGGCAATGAATTGATCGCGCGTCATCGGGGAGGATCTCTTATTATATAATATACAGAGCACGTTTATATAATTATACAACATATTATGTAACAGTATAGTCATATATAACACGATTGTATTATATGGCTAAACGCCTTCAAAGCTTTATAGAAGATTAGCTTTCGAGCTCGCTGTGTAGCGCTATTATTTAAGAAAACACCAGTAGC